TTTTTTTTTTTGAGACAGTCTTGCTCTGTCACCCAGGCTGGAGTGCAATGGCATGATCTCGGCTCATTGCAACTTCCCCCAGTTTCAATTGATTCTCCACCCTCCGCCTCCTGAGTAGCTAGGGTTACAGGCAGTGCCACACGCCCAGCTAATTCTTGTATTTTTAGTAGAGACGGGGTTTCATCATGTTGGTCAGCTAATCTCAGACTCCTGACCTTGTGATCCGCCTGCCTCGACCTCCCAAAGTGCTAGGATTAAGGCGTGAGCCACCGCGCCCAGCTGTGTTTGCCTTTTTAACACCTTTACTCTGCTGTGTTTCCAGATCATTTATACAGGGCTTTGTTGAACGGTCGCTATAGTCTGCTTGAGTCCCATCTGCCCCAAATCCTAATTATGAACACCTCCTTGGCAGCCCTTGCTTCGGAGGGCTCTGGGGACTCTGGCTCAATCAGCGACATCTAGATAAAGATCCCTGGAGTCAGTCTGTTAGCAGGAAGGTGAGCAGAGCAGCAACAAACAGATGCTGTCTTTGTCTAGTGTGGGCCTTCCTGCCGTAACCATGAGAGTTTTCTCCACTGTGACGCAGAGGAGGATTTGTGCATTGGAGCCAGCGCCCAGGCAATTCTGCTGTTGATGGTTGCACATTTGTTCTCAAACCCTTTGCTGCTTCACTTCTGCCCTTCTCCCTGTGTTCCCATCCCAAAGCAGTGCTTTCTTTGTAATTTAGGGCACATCTCCCTAACACATTTCTCTCTCTCCTCCTGCAGGGGAGTTGCTGAGTCAGCCCAGACCAGAAGGAGTGGCAGAGATCATTTGCCCCAAGAACGGCAGCGAGCGAGTGAATGTTGCCTTGGTTTACCCACCCACACCGACTGTGATCAGCCCCTGTTCCAAGTGAGTTCTCAAAGTCCCTCTGGCCCCTGGACCTGGCTCCTGATCCCAGCTCCATAGATATGACAACAAAAATCCAACTTAAACTGCATCTGCACAAATCTTGAAAAGTCCTCCCTAACAGACAGAATTCTGCATTACATCAGCATCGTGACTTATGCAGCCAAACAGGAACTTTTGTTTCCTCTTTTTTATGATTTTTTTTTTTTTTTACTTTTGCTGATAAAGTCAGAACATTTTTTAACAGTCTCATTGAGATGTCATTCACATGTCACAGTTCACTTATCTGCAGTATACAGTTCATTGGTTTTTAGTTTATTTGCAGGTATATGCAACCAAGAAGAACATACTTTTTGATGGGCAGTCTTAACTCTGTTATTGCAGAATTAAGCTGGCTCCCACTTAAAAAAACAGTGCAGGTCCATTCCATGAGTGAAGCCTGCAGAAAATCAGTAATAGATTATTTTTTGTTGCATGGGTCTGATTTTTGAGTCAGTCCCTGAAAATCAAGGGCTGTGCAGTTTGCCACCGCCTTGCCCCAAAATGGACTTAAAGACAGAGAATGCACATATGCAAAGTAACTTTTGGATAGAATGTGAGCTTACTATTCTAGATGGCCCTCATCCTGCTTGGGTTTTGTGTATGTGTGGTTTTTGTTTTGTCTTGTTTGTATTAAGAACCAAAGAAGGCCAGGCACAGTGGCTCACGCCTGTAATCCCAGCACTTTGGGAGTCCGAGGCAGGTGGATCACGAGGTCAGGAGTTCAATACCAGCCTGGCCAAATGGAGAAACCCTGTCTCTACTAAAAATACAAAACTAGCCAGATGTGATGGTGCATGTCTGTGACCCCAGCTACTTGGGAGGCTGAGGCAGGAGAATCACTTGAACCCAGGAGACAGGTTGCAGTGAGCCTAGATCGCACCATTGCACTCCAGCCTGGGCAACAAGAGTGAAACTCCATCTAAAAAAAAAAAAAAACAACCAACTAAAGAGGCCACTTTTAAAGCAGCAGCCACAGATCTTTTGGGGTCAAATCTCATTATCTGTGTGATGTCAGCAACATGATTTCTCCAGCAAAATACTCATATCCATGCAGCAAACTTGACTTTTCTTCCTAGCTGGTCACATGGAATTTTTTAATGAAAAAATTATGCATGACTTTTTTTTTTTTAGGGAGATCAGAAAGTGTGCAGTTTAGGAATTGTGACCTATCATCTCCTCTTAGGAAACTCGCTGTCCAGCTGCCTTCCAGGGCAGTATGACAGGTGTCCTTGGTTCGTCCCTGGCATGGCAGCTTCCCTGCCTTTGGTGTGCTCCCTGCAAAGTGAGGGTTCCCAGTGGCATCCTCATTCATCAGTTGCTGCAGTAGAAGTAGGGGTCACTTGATTCAGTTCCCCCTTTCTCCAAACTGAGCAACTCATTACAGAGAACATCCTTAATCTATCCTTGCTGGAAAATATCACTGACACCCAAGGGAAACTCTTATCTAATGCTCTTATATTTAGACTACTATTTAACTATCATGTGCATAGCTTAATTTATCACTAACAGACATTGTGAATCTTGAGGTGCTTCTTAAATATTAAAATAGGATTACAGAATAATTGAGTATTAGGTTGGTGCAAAAGTAATTGCTCACTTACTTTTGTACCGATCTAACATTAACCAGAATATCCCCTGTCCTGAACATATCAAACAACAGAAATTTTATTGTTTTTTTGAATTTCTTTGAAACTATACACATTGGTCCCTTTCTTTCAGATACACCTGGGTGAGGATGGATAAAGGGATATTGTATATTTTCTTCTCTCTCTCTCTGTTTTTGTTTTTTTGATACTCACTAAGTTCTTAAAGCTGAAGGGGATGTTAGAGAGCCAGCAGGATATGAAACAGAGGAAACAAAAATTCAATATACTTTGCATTGGCACAAACTTTCCAGAGCCAAGAGAGACATGAATCTATTGTTTTGCCTTAGCCACATACTGTCGAATACACAAGATAGAGGTAAGGGTTAAAATATCCATTTGTACAAGAAACCTTCCTGGCACTGAGCCAGCTTTATCCTTGTTTTCCCATAGACTGCTTCTTGTACTGCCACAGAAAGACCACATTTATACCAGCTTGAAAAAAATGTTATTAGCCTCTCTCTCGACAGCATATTGAACCCAAGTGAACAAGCAGCCTCAAAGCCTTAGCAGTGATACATAGCTGCAGACATCCAGATCCTGAGGGAGCCTCCTTAGGGATTGAACCACTTTTGACCTAGCTATCGGAATCATTTTATTTTGAAACAGGTTAAAAAAAATGCCTCATGAAATGGATGACAGCATTGCAATATAATTCTCAACTCTAAATAAAGGAATGTTCTCTAAATAGGAAAGTTTCATCCTAGCAAGACATTTCTTGGAAATTACCATGTTTTAGTGCAGCTGCAAGGGGGAAATGATCTCGTGTGACTTTATAGAAAAGCACATGTAGATTTGAAGTCTGTGCTCATGCTGCCCATGTTCCCCACCTTCACCCCCTTAAGTACTCACAGCTTACATCCATGAACACAAAACAAAAACTAACCCATGTGGAGGCCAGACCAGGCTCCATGGAAGGTCCCATTTTTGAGTGGATGACAATGTATCAGAAGCAGGAGGTTTGGAGGGATCAATGAGGATAGCTGGCCAGGAAGGTAACCATTTAATCGACATAGCTTGGGCCTGAGCCTGAGACTTGGGGTCCCTGCAGGCCTTAGACATTGGAAGTCTGGGGCTATTGCACTGGCTTTCACCTCCAGCCAAGGTAACTTAAGCAAGTCACCATAGAGATCGGGGTTTTTTTTGTTTTTTGTTTGTTTGTTTATTTTTTGACAAAGGGTCTCATTCTTTCATCCAGGGTGGAGTGCAGTGGTGCCATCTTGGCTCATTGCAATCTCCGCCTCCATGGTTCAAGTGATTCTCCTGCCTCAGCCTCCTGTGTAGCTTGGACTACAGGCACAAACCATCACACCTGGCTAATTTTTTTCTATTTTTTGGTAGAGACAGGGTTTCACCATGTTGGCTGGGCTGGTCTCGAACTCCTAACCTCAAGTGATCCACCTGTCTTGGCCTCCTAAAGTGCTGGGATTATAGGCATGAGCCACCGTGCCTGGCCAAGGTCAGGTTTTCTTAATCAGGCATGCAAGGTAGAATTTCTCAGGGAAGAGACCAGGCATGAGTCATTAAAAAATGAAAGAAGTCACCTAGATGAGTCTAACATGTGTACACTGGACTTTCTGATGGCTCAGTTCCAACCCATGCCTCTAAGGGTGGGCTCCCTGGCCAGTGAGGCCTTCGGTCTGCTCTGTGGTCAATAACTACTCTGTGGCACAAAGGCAAAACTGTCCATGCCACCTGCTTTCAGTCCCTCCCACGCTCAGGTAGGGTGAAACTATCACTTACTGTTCAAAACAGGAGAGGATTGAGAGTGATGGGAAGGCTTTCAGTCATCATGCTGGGATGATGAGTACCCACCAGCAGGCTCCCAGATACACCAGAATAATCACCCTACTCTTAGGTCTGATCTAGATCTTATGGTGGTTTTTAAAAAGACATTCCAAGCTCTTCTTTAACTGGTTTACCTCTCTCCTTTATTGGTCAAATCAGAGACTTGTCATTTAACAACCTGCTTTTGACTATGTTTAAACTAATGCTGCTGCAATGCTTTCTTTATAAAGAAGAAACCATAGATGACTGTTATCTGATTGGCCTTTTTAAATGAATGCCAAGCTTTTCCATTTCTCATTTTAAAAATTTTCTATGTATTTTATTCTCCCATGGGGAGAGATAGAAAATAAGGAACAGGTTTTTGATTTTTTGTGGGTTTTTTTTTTTTGAGATGAAGTTTTGCTCTTGTTGCCCAGGCTGGAGTGCAGTGGCGTGATCTCCGCTTACCACAACCTCTGCCTCCCAGGTTCAAGTGATTCTCCTGCCTCAGCCTCCCGAGTAGCTGGGATTACAGGCATGTGCCATCACTCCTGGCTAATATTGTATTTTTAGCAGAGACGGGGTGTATCCATGTTGGTCAGGCTGGTCTCAAACTCCCAACCTCAAGTGATCTCCCAATCGTGACCTCCCAAAGTGCTGGGATTACAGGTGTGAGCCACCACACCTGGCTTTAAGAACATGATTTGACTGGGCACGGTGGCTCATGCCTATAATCCCAGCACTTTGGGAGGCCGAGGTGGGTGGATCACAAGGTCAAGAGATGGAGACCATCCTGGTCCACAAGGTGAAACTGCATCTCTGCTAAAAATACAAAAATTAGCTGGGCATGGTGGTGTGTGCCTATAGTCCCAGCTACCAGGAAGGCTGAGGCAGGAGAATTGCTTGAACCCAGGAGGCAGAGATCGAGCCACTGCACTCCAGCCTGGGTAACAAGAGCAAAACTCCATCTCAAAAAAAAAACAAAAAACAGAACATGATTTACTCTTAACTTGTCTCGGTGGTTTGGTGGTTGAGGTCTCCACCAGCATTTCATTGAGAGGTTACAGGAACAGGGCGAAATGCTTCCCCTTCTGCACCTCACCCTCCAGGGAGAAACAGGAGCTGAGTGGCTTCTTATCCTCTTTGCTGATTATGAGATAGAAATGTGAGTAATTTCCATGCTTTGGATATCTCCAGTGGATTTTTAGGGATATCTGCATTTAAGATGAGGTGAACATTCATCTAGTAGCATATTTGCCTGGGTTGCTCTGAAAATATCTGACTTCCTCAAGGCTACAGATTGTGACAGATACATTTGTAAAAGCTTTATTGATGTATAATTTCCATACCATAAAACTCTCCATTGCAATAATTATTAACGTATTTACAGAGGTGTGTTTATACAACCATCACCACAATCTAATTTTAGAACATTTTCTTCACCCCAAAAAGAAACCTTGTGCCTATTTGCTATTAACACCCATGCCTTCTTTACCATCACTCCCTGGCAACTACTTAACAGCTTTCTTTCTTTCCAGATTTCCCCCTTCT